AACCTACAAACTCTTTTAATATATATTTTCATGAGACAAACCCTTTAATTATTTCTAATAATACTGACCCATACATTCTGAGTAACATTAACCTGAATTAGTGAGATTATATTCATAAACTGCAGCTTCTAACTCCATGAATTTTCTTTTCCTTATTTTCTTACCCCTCCCCGATTTGCCATGATGTTAAAAAATATATATATATATATTTCTAATAATACTAGAACTTGTTAATTTTCCACTATTCTTATAATTATTTATAACCCATGACTTACACCGACCGAGTCGTCGCCACGAGGACTGCAAAACCTACTTCTCCCCTAACCCAAATGGAATCCTAAACAAGACCTTTCTCTCGCTCTCTCAATCTGCGTACATATATAGATTTTCCCCTCTTTCTTCTATTTCAATCCCTACTCGATCAATTTAACCGGTGATTTCCCATCTATTTTGTTGTTCGTAATTCCATAACAATTTCAATTTCGATTAGGGATTTGGGTTTCCATAGCGATCAAATTGTTATATTAGGGTTTTTTTCTCGATCTGATCGCGTCGGCGATTGTATTTCGTGCAGGATATTCGAGGTTTTAGTTGAAGAGTATCAGCCATGTTTAATCGGCTTTTCGCAAAACCTAGGCAGGAAACAGATGCCTTGACCACGTTAGACAAATTAAACGAGGTTTGTTCGCTTTTAATTCGGAATTCAGTTGTTCTTCTCGATCGGTTTTGACTCTTCTCTTCGGATGAGGGTTCAGATTTCTGATACTTAGTTGTTGATTTTTGTGTGAATTTGGCGTTAGATGATATGATGGGAGACTCTGGGGTTTCCTTGAAGGAGCTGAACTTAAGTTCTTGCTAATTCTTGTTACCCTTATTGAATCTCACTTAGTAATTGCTTTCGTTTAGTATTAAGAATTGGGGGTTCATGCAATGTGATGTTTTTCAGTTCCTTTAAATATTTAATAATTAGAATTCTAATATGATGTTATTACTAGTTATGTGTCACATAGTTCTTGGCAATGCAAATTGCATATCTTTATTATTGTTATTAGTTTGAAAAAGCAAAACATGTGTTGCTTTTTGGGTTACAAGCAATTTGTTGTCTGCATAATGTAGACCCTTGAAATGCTGGAGAAAAAGGAGAAAGTGCTAGTAAAAAAGGCTGCTGCAGAGGTTGAAAAGGCCAAGGTAGCAGCCCAAGGTGGGAAAAAGAAAGGTATGGTTATGAATTGCAAGCATAAATCGCATAATTACTAATTTTTTTTTTTTTATGGTTGAAATTTTCTATAGCTTTGAGTGAACTGGTTGTTATGAGTTTCACATATCACCAAAACTTCTAATTCTATTTTTTTTTCTTTTCTACCTTTAGTCTTGTACATCTTTAATATTATTATTCCTGTTTTTGGTGTGGAAAATATGGTTTCTCTTCTCCTCATGTTCAGTTATATTTAAGATAACAAATCTACAACTCTTTATCTTTCACACTTATGTGGTGTGGCAATTTGTGTGTCTGTTGTTCAAAATTTTCTTCATATTGTTGAAAAAAATGGTTTTGTTTTCACTTGTTATTTGAATGCATTATTAAAACTTAAATTATCTATTTGTCATGTATTTATTTGTATCTCTCATGCAGTCGCTATACAATGTTTGAAGAAGAAGAAGCTGTATGAACAGCAAATAGAACAGCTTGGAAATTTCCAGTTGCGCATCCATGATCAAGTGAGCTATATATTTCATGGTTTTAACTTTGTTTGGGAAACCTTTGTTCAGTGTTTCTGCCCTGGCTAATGCTATACCTAACACACACCTATGTATGTACATTGCACAGATGATAATGTTAGAAGGTGCAAAAGCCACCACGGAGACTGTAGATGCATTGAGAACAGGAGCAGCCGCAATGAAGGCTGTGCAGAAAGCAATGTCCGTAGCCATCTTACTTAATCCACCATCTTCATTTTTTTCAAAATTGTTTGCTCTTGAGATTTTTTCAATTTTATTTGTTGTGATTTCAATTCTTAATGCTTCTCAGTCAATCACTCCATGGTTGCTTTCTCTTCCTTTACTCCCTCTTCATCTGTCTATCCCTTTTTCCTTTTATTTATTTATTTTTTTGCTGAAGCATTTATTCATCCCCATATAACTAATCAATTCTTTACTCTTTGTATGTATGTTATTCTTTATAGTCATCATTCCTTTTCTACCAATATTATAATTTATTTATTTATTTTGGTATGCAGCATTGTTGCTTATTATTTATGCTTCACTGGATAAGCAAATAGTATCAGATATTGTCAAATCATAATAATCTCATTGTAAAAGCTGCATAATGGGCATTATTTATGTTGCTCAAAGTTAATCCTGTCTTGCAGGAATGTAGATGATGTGGATAAGACTATGGATGAAATTAATGAACAAACAGAGAACATGAAGCAAATTCAAGAAGCTCTATCAACACCAATTGGAGCAGTGGCTGATTTTGATGAGGTTATACTGTCCTTACTTTTTTTCCATTTCATATCTTTTGGGATATTGAGCACTGATTGACATTCAATCTATCAAGTGAGTCTAACTTGCTGGGTGTTGCAGGATGAATTAGAGGCAGAACTTGAGGAACTTGAAAGTGCTGAGTTGGAAGAACAACTTCTTCAACCTGCAACGAGTGCTCCTGCAGCTCCAGTGCAGGTTCCTGCAGGCAGGCAACCAGCTCGTCCAGCTGCTCAAAAGCGCACAGAAGAGGAAGAGGAAGAGGAAGACGAACTTGCTGCCTTGCAGAAAGAGATGGCACTCTAAGGTAATTCATTCTATTTTCTCCATGCTGCATTCTCATGTTGCCTTGGGATTATTAAATTATATAAGTTATAGTACTCATTGTCAAGACCACTCCTTAATGCAGGGTTGAATTTATTTCTATAAGTGCAGGCATTTAGATTTATTTTCAATGTTCAGACAATGGGCTGTGTCAAGCTGGGCAAAGAGGCAACATGCTAGAGAGCATTTACAACTTTTAGATATATTATACTATTTACATATCCTACTCCAATTTCGTGCATTTAATTATTTGACAGCAATGTACATAAAGACTGCATAAACCGCTTCCATATTAGTATTATGCATCTCGGAGTTCAGTTGTCCAGTATCAGATCTTCCTTTCCTTCTCATTTACGTAGAGCTTCTTGGCTGAAGAACTCAATAGTCAATACCCTAAATAGCCATTTCAACCTTTTGCTCTGTTTTTTATTTAAATGAGTTATCAGTTATAAACTTTCTACACTATTCCTATTCCCTAATATGATTGTTTTACTTCAGCTCACCAAATTTAATCCTGTCTTTTGATAACAGATATTCTGTGTTCACAAGTATTGAGAAATAGATTTTATCATGTTAGATGTTAATTTTAGTCTCTTTAACTTTAAAGTTTTGCACAGTTTTTGTCCTTTCAACTCTTTTTATATACTTTTTTTTATTTATGTTCTTAAACTTTGAAAAATGCACATTTTGTCATTCTTTTTGTTTGTTAAGTCTATGTAAATGTGCAAATTTTAGTTTCTAAATTTATAATATATGTACATTTTTAGTATTTGAACTTATAAGTTTATAGATTAAAAATATATAGATGTATACACACTTAACATATTAACTTATAGAGGAATAAAAAAAGTATATATTTTTTTAAAAAAAATTTAGGGACTAAAAAAACGTTTAAACTACTTGAGAGATGACAATTGTGTAAAACTTTGAAGTTGAGGGACTAAAATTGGTTTTTAATCATTTTATCATAATAATAGATTCTTCGCATGGAGGCTAAAATCCACTTTGATAAGCTTTTTACTCCATTCTCTTCTTTGATTCTATGTAGCAAGTCCTAATATTGATTTTTCTTACCTGAAGAATAGGGTGCAAATTACATTGAGTTCAAAAGGTATGTTCAAAAAGGAAAAAAGATTATGCCTTGAATCCACAACATTGTACATAGATGCCCAAGCAAGTCCTGGTTGCTTTATTGGAGTTGCTGACTGAGAAAAAAGGGCTATAATTATTTGAAAAATTGCACCCAAAAAAAAAAAAAAAATTATGTGAGGATAGCGAAGAATGGCAGCTGGACTTTTATTTCACTTCCGGTAATGAGAACCTTTCTAGTTCACTTGATTACAAAAGGAATGGAATGAGACCTGAGCATGTCCTTTGGGATGGAGGAGTACGGGCCTCAATGAGTGGTGGAAGAGCTTTGGCTACCACATAAGAAGAGTCTGGCTTAGAGAGGAAGGGCTTTTCCCCGATTGGAAACAATTATACCTCGATCGACATCCAAAGGTCAAGCTCCAGTTTCTAATTAGGGGTTCCCTTTGTTCAAGATAAACAAAATAGAATGGAAATTTTGGATAGTGAATTTTACTTTTTAAGGGCTTGTTTCACTAGTTAAAAAGCTTGGGTTAAACATAGATTTTTCGTTTTTGTTTTTTTAATTTTACAAAAACCTCTGATATTTAAAAATTATATCGAATCTCAATTAATTCAGATTTAAGAAGAATTTTATAAGGGAAAAAACTTTTTAAGGCTCATCTCTTCATTTGAAAGACTCAACTCAAGATTTTAGTTATAAAAAGCCAAATTCTTTCCTATTAGAGTAACAAGTCATTGGTTAAATACGGTCTTCTTAATCTACTCAAACAAAAAAAAGGTTCCCAAAAAAAAAATAATAATAAAACCTCAAAAGAAAATTACATTTAAGGCCAAGTAGACTCCAAAACTTGGAATCATGTACTATTTTGTTCAAAACAAATAATAATAATAATAAGGCCAATATCAATGGCACCTGCGATCTCTGTGTAATGAATAAATGTGGTAGCCCTTTTTGTACATATTGGATTTTAAGAAAATGAAACAATTATAAAAAAAAAAAAAACCCAAAATAAATTAGAATTTAGACAGGGATAAACAAATATCTTGAAGACGGTATGAATTTATGGAATAAATATTGGTAAAAGAATCAAGAAATAAACAACACAGATTTAACGTACTTCGTTTGATGCTCCCTTTCCATGGCATGACGCTAGTGAATGATATATGTGAGCACCAGAGCCAAGAGCATTAAAACATAGGCAATTCCCTGATCCACTGCTACCCCTGCCATTGCCAAACACAACTAATTACTATCAGATTTAGAAACAACACAAATTATCAATTACAGAAGCTTAGAATCATTTTCCTCCATGAATTTCAGAAAAACATATGCGGATTGCTCCGAGAAAGTGAGAGAGAGGAGAACGTACCATCGCTTGTAGGAGCAGGTGCCGGTGACGGACGTTCGGCGCCGATGGAAGGAACGAGCAGAGCCAGAGCCAGACCCAGAGCCAATGCAAGCGCCATTACTAAGAACTGAACTCGGAAAATCTCCATTGTTGATTCGATCTACACTTTCAACTTCCCTTCTGGTTCTGGATCTCGATTTTTTCTGCGTCTGTTTGGATTCGCAAAACTCCAGATTTTGGGGGGCTTAAATAGAAGAAGAGAGGGGAAGAATCTTAACGGAGAAACGGCAACTCTGGGCTGGGGGAAAAGGTGTGTGATTACATGGTTGGATTGAGGACAGGTGTACGGCGGATAATGGGTGCACATTCAAAATCTAGGTGTTGATGAGTCGTGGTGTGCAGAGTGGGACCCTTTCCTTCCTTACAAATGGTGGTGCCACATGCAAAAAAAAGATTTTGAGGGAATATTTGTACAGAAATATGAAAATCAAAACCTGCAGAACATATATTATAGTTATTCCTTAAGTGAATTTTATCTTAAGTTTTATTTAATAAATGATAATAATAAATATTTTAAATATCAAAATATGTTGATTGTTTGGATTCTCATATTTGAATTTGATCTTCTTAGAAAACATACAACATTATTACTTTTCCATTTTCTTTTCGGAAAGTAGGAACCAAACATAATTGTTATTATTAGTTGGCAAAAATGGTTGCGTGAGAGTTTTTTTATATTAGTGAATTTAGGAGTAAAAATTAGAAAAAAAAATTTATATAA